CATTCTAGTCGCCCTGAACTGTTTAAAATATCCAAATTATATATACTTGTCTTCACCTTTGTCTTCTAAGGCTGCATATGACTGAACTAACTTAAGTTCAGCCTGCCCCAGTTTACGACCAGTTTTATTCTTTTAGTTATACTCTCTTCAAGTTGTGATACAGCTATAGTCAGACCACCTAAACTTATAAAACAGTCTGATTAGCTCGTTCTTAAATAAGATAATAATAGAGTATAGTCAAGTTATAGCCATTGGGTTCTAGCATGTGCGAGGCTTTGAGCCAGAACCCCTGAACTTACAGAAGGATCTAACTCCCTGCCAGATTCGTTTCTATCTGATCCATCATGTGTGTGGCATCGAGTCAGACTCTCTGAACTTACAGAAGGATCCGCCCCTTTGCCAAGGTTATTTCTTCAGAATAAAGAGCAGGAAGAGACAAATCCACCTAAACTTATAGAACAAATCAGATCTCCTCGTTTCAGAAACCAAAGAAACAGATGAAACCCCAGTGAAAACAAGGCAACCCAAGGCACCAACACTTATTGAGCGCCCTGAGTCCCTGAAAATCAAGCGCAATCAAACCCTTCACAGGTCATAGCAGTCAGACCACCTGAACTTACAGAACAACCTGACCCTTCATACAAACCATAGCACTGGGTCTCCTCAAACTTATGGAGACTTCCCAGCCTCCAAAGCAATCAGACCCCATAAACTTATAAAAGAGTCAAATGCTTCAACCAAAACCAAAAGAAACAAAGCACTGGGTCTCCCCAAACTTATGGGGACTTCCCAGCCTTAAGGACCCGATCAACCACCAAGCAAAACATAGCTCCATCTTGCCTTTTCCCAGATGCAGTTTCTTTCAACAATTTAAATTCATACAATCAATAAAGTTGCAACTGAGCTTGAACAGGCATTCCTTTACTTAGTCTGGTTTAGTTTCATGAAAGTCAAACCAAATGTAAGACAAGGTTGCACACCATATATTCAGTCAGAGATGCAATGGGAAATACAAATAGGGGTTATAGCTCGGGTGTATAGAAGGAAAGCAATGGTTTACCTTTCAGTTCCCTGCCTCCAGGACCCCTCCTGAGTCCCGGCAGAGCTCCCGCAATCGGTGGGGCACCCTCTCACACAGGCCTTGGCGCGGTTTACGGGTTGCAATCCCGCCTGCCGCCTTCCTCTCGGCACCAAAAGACTAGACTTAGAGTAAGAGAGGCAGGATGAGAAGGTTTCAGACTCTCAGATCCAAGGAGGGTGCTCTCAGACTCGCAGGAGAGGGCCTTGTTATCTTCAGCGTCTGAGGGCCCCGCAATGGCGGCCGAGTGACACAGCTCGGTCAACTTGGAGTAAACCACCGAACCCAACCTCCCTAACTAACTCTTAAACTGCCGCAATGACCCTTTATTTGCCTAGCCTTATCACCTCCCCTTGCCTGAACATCTCTCCTCAGCCTGTCCCCGATGTCAATCTCAACACGCCGCCGTGCTATACTTCCGTGACGTACATGCATCAGCATCACGGTACCCTGCTGGAGCAACTAGTATGAAGTGGCTAAGCCGTTAAGGACACTGTAGCACACCAATTTGTAATAAACACAGTGACTGCAGCCGCAGAACGCCAGCTGAAGCCGGACTCGGACAACCGAGCACAGCAATGGACCATCCAGGCCGACGCAACGGCCAGGATGCCCACCTACCGGGCAGTAGTGGGAGCCACAACTGTGCACAACGCAGCGACCATGCGACAGTTCACATTGTACACCCAGGCCAAAAGTACCCAGTGCTAGGCCATATTAGGCATCTTTGATGCTGTTATATCCAATGTATGCGTGTGTGCGTCAACAAAAAAAATTCACAAAATTAAATAATCATTCTAGAGTTAAATTACATTCGAAATTCTAAATTTTAATTCCATCTTAAAAAATATAATTCCAATTTTAAAATTTTCCGTCTTACTTGAAAACTTTCCTTCCAAGAATGGGGTATCCCTTCTTATTTGAACTGCATGCTAGAGATGGAATGAAAGTCTGGATAAGTTCATGAAATATTTTAATTGGACTGTCATTCTAAGTAAGGATTTCCAGTCATAAATAGGTTAATCCAATCTAAATTAGATGATATTTGTTGTAATAGAATAAAAATTTAATTAAAATATTTCATAAACTCGTCC